CAGCTTCAAAACCAGCACCCCCAATCCCTCCTCCTCATCTCCAGTGACTTGTATGTTAGCTGTATTCTGACTGTTCTTTCAACAGTGATACCTTTATTACACATATTTCATCAAACTTGTTGGACCTCTGTAAACTTGGCGTTCAGGCAGAGAAAGCATCACTCACTTTTTTAAGCTCTCTTCCTCAGAGTTGTCCAACGCTCTCAGCTTTGGAGCGTACAGCAGCACGATGTCTGAACGCTTCGCTTTCTTGTTACACTAAAGACAAATAACAGGAACAACCAGTGGGTCAATAAACAAACTCATCAAGACAACAAAACATGGCAGCCGAAATAATCCTTCAATCATGAAGGTCACCATTTTAGCTTCAAAAATTAAATTGACTTTTGTTGAAACTTGATATTTACAGGGCTGATGTGACTGCCTGTTAAAAACAGTGACCTCACTGACCTGTGGACATTTAGCGGCTGAACCCTGAGCTTTCAGCCAGCGCTGGATGCAGGTGTAGCCGAAGAGGTGTCCGCAGCGCAGAGCGGACAGCCTGTGCTCGCCCGCCGTCGTCCAAGCCTCGAAGCAGATAGTGCAGTTGTCGCCTTCACTCTCCTCACTCGACTGGATGGAAGCCAAGGCCTCCGAGGGCAACTACGGATGGTGATGACAGTCAGATTGACATGAATGATAAAAGACCCAGAGCAGAAGAACTATCAAGTTAAAGAAAGAGAGAGAAGTGAAGGAGTGAAGGATTGACTGTTACCCTGACACCCTGATGTTGATCTTCTGTCCTCTCATTGTCTGCAGCTGAAGTGGGGTCTGAACACAAAGCAGATACACATAAGATCTACAGTAACAAACTAAAAAATGATTGTGTGCCTGGTTGGAGCCTCTTTATAAAACCCTTGTTAGACCACGACATATTCTATGAGATTAAAGAGTCTGCACTCGTGTGGGAAAACCAGTTATTGAATTAGTTATTCAGCCCAGACGCCAGGAATTGAAATTCTTGTTGGACTCACTGGCTGAGCTGACATCCTGTGGCTGCGTGTGATATGTGGAGGGGTTGGGGTGAGGATTGGTTGGTGGGGCAGGGTCAACAAGCAACACGGCGGCAGAAGCATCCTCTTCATCCGACTCGCTGACGTCTGTGGTGCTGCCTGACTCTGGCTCAGCCACGCTGGCAGCCGGCGCTCGGAGCAGAAAGTCAGGGAAGCCTCTGGATGGTGCTGCCGTCTGGCTGGGGTAGTGCACCCTGAGGCCCTGCCTGCCGCAACACGCACACACGAGTGAGAGAGAACCAGAACAGGAAGCGGTGAGCTGAAACTGCATCAATCTTTCACATGTAATTTCATAAATTGATATTGAGATTATAGTCACTTTAATATAATTTACAAGTTTCAAAACATAATATATTACCAACGTAAAACACAGACTAATTCTGGGTACCTGACTCTCCTCCGTAGGGGTGCCCCCCGAGCTGCTGATGGCGTGGCTGCAGTCCGGACTGCCCTCTGACTAAACGCCCAGGTTGCTGGAAGCCTCGGAGGTGGCCGAGCTGCCGCCTGTCCTCCATTGTTATCATGTTCGTCCTCCACCTCGGTACTGCTGCCGGAGTCTGAGATGACATGTGGTGCGTCGGCATTCTCGGCCTGGCCAGCAACAGCTGCCCGTGGCGGTCTGCTGCCTCCTCCTTGTATCTCCGCAGGAGAGTCTACCTCCATCGCCTCCATCTGCACAGCAGCACAGTGAGGAAACAGCAGAGATGATATTGTTAGTCAGTCTGCAATACAGCACATCAGCAAGATTGTGGGTCAAATTTCGATTTTCCGGAGAATCTGTGGATTTTTTCCAGTAGGTCTGTATGTGACAACGCAAATGTCCGAGTGAGTGCCTCCAAACTTCCACCAGAAACGTCTCGTGTTAATGTGAACACGTCTGAGCGAAGAATCTCCAGCTGCGTTGTTCATGTGTCAAAAGCAAAATCTGCAGAATGTTTGCACTCAATTGTGTGAATGAGCATGCAGTTCTGCTTGACACAAACTTTCAGCTGCAAATGGAAACCCATCTGATAGCATCATCTTTTAATTGAAAAAGCAAACACTACACATTATCATTTGAAAATGTGTGGCTAACATACATGGTGAGATGAAGATTTCACTCACACAACTTGCTCTGATGCACGAATAATGCTATAACGACACTGTTTCTGAACACTGTTTACTTGAGAATCACAGCATAGTTAGCTTCGTAACTGCATTCAGAACCCCTCTGTCATGAGAATTTCAGAAACACATTCATATGCATTTTCATGGAGGATTTCCACTCTTGTTTACAATCTACAGTTTTACTTATGAACTATTTTGCATCACAAATTGCAGGATATCAGAATGTTTGTGAACACTGTGCAGCACCTTTCCACCTAAAGAAATGTGATGTATGAATAAAGATAATTAGTATTGTCTTTAACTGCTACACACTGTTTGACACACCCTGGTGAAGCTGTGATCCAGACTTCTATGCAGACATGATAATGCCCCACTAGACAAATTACCATTGAATGAACACCAAACCTGCTCCTGAGGCTGCTCCTGGGTCACAGCCAGACACAGAGAGGAGCTCTAACACAACACAGTCAAAGGTTATCTGACCCAGTGTGAAAGTCTTGAGCATCCAATGAGAACCTCCTCCTCCTCCTCCTCCTGAAGAGGTGAGGTGCACATCTGGCTGCAGCAGCCTCACTTTAACACAGGAGCGGCTCTAATTCCTCCTGGTAAACTCTGCACACTGAACAGTACAGGTGCAATTTCAAATAAGGAGACTGGTTGAATCTTTAACAGACATGTTTAACGTGTCACCAGCTCACGTTCCTACATCCAAACACCCCCCCCGCTGTCTTTGCCGGGCCCGGTGGTGCGTTCTCCGGCTAAGCACAAAACTAGAGCCCGAGGTCACTGAGGCCTGCGAGTAATAAAAGCTAACAGGAGGTCCCTCTATTCATTTCTAACGCAGGACAGCTTGTGTGTTTTAATGTAGCAAGTTATCCCATGAGCACCGTTACAGCAAACAGTCAAGAAATGATTGAAATACGATTGTGTTTTGATTTCATGGAGACAACCTGCGGTTAAGCTACATTAGCTTTAGCATGTGTGAGGCTGCCAGCACACGATTACTACTTTACACCGGGCTCACTATGTGCCCGATCACTGATGATGGGCACGGTGCTGCTCGCATTATAAGCCAGCTTTAGAACCGAGGCCGGTGCACTCGTGGTTGAACCGACTCGGCTGTGCTGGGGCCGGGTGGTGCAGCAGGAGCTACACACACACACACACACACACACACAAACACCGACCTGTCTGGAAGAAGTGCCGGTTTAACAGCAGCGAGTCCCGGTGGCAGATGCAACGACAGGCTGCAGCATGGCTCCAAATCAAGCTGCTCTGGCTGCAGACGGCTTGCGGTGGACATCCACTCAACACAGCGGTGTTACTTAAGTCAGGTCCGCGGGAACAGGGCTCGAATCTCCCGGCTCAGGTCCCACTCTGCCCGCCCCATCCTCCCGGCGCGTCACCGCCAAAGATCGTCTGGAGCGAAGATGGACGACGCGCGCACTGTTTGATGAGCTGATGTGCTGCTCTCTTTCTCGCAGCATCGTTTCACACACACGCTGCAGAGGTTTGAGGGGTTTCGTGTACTGCATTACATTAAAGCTGCGGTCTGCCACCATCAGGCCAAGCAAGTCAGTCACTACTCGACCTGGATGAGATAAAACTAGTCATCAAGTGATATCTCTCCTCACCATGTCCCAGTCTTCCTCATCTGCCTGCAGAAGTTTCCTTGGGCTAAATACTGAACCTGAAATTGCCCCTCCAAACTGTACTGTACAGCGTTTTGAGTGGTCATGAAAACTACAAAAGTAATTGTACATATATAATATATATTATATATACAGACCATATTGTCAGAAAGCCTCCAGACCAGGGGTGAACTTTGTTGCAGCTGAATCCAATACAATTGAAGTAACTGCTGCGCTTTGATTCAGCACAAAAACTGTCTAAGGCATTACGATTGATGTTGGTCAGGCAGGATATTTAAAGATTAAGATTAAGATTCCTCTTTATTGTCCCACTCACAGCATGCAACATGCAAACATGGGGACATTTGACCTCTGTATTTAACCCACCGTGTGGAACACACGGAATACAATCCACACAGTGACCACATGGAACAGTGGAGAAATTGTTTTAAAAAAAAAAAGTGTATTAAGCAACTAGAACAAAAAAAGAGAGAAAAATTGAGAATTTACCAGAGACCAAGTAATTACAAGAGGAAATTACTATTGGTTACATTATACTGGGGAGTTTCCTATTGCTCCTTACGAAAATGTTTTGGAGACTGTTTGAAGACTTAAGTCAAGCCAGGAAAGTAAAGTGCAATGAAGGGACAGAAAACAAACACTGGCAGGGACAGATAATTCCTCACAAGTGTCTCAGTGTGTCATAATGCAGGATTCCAATTCCGACTCAGCCCCGCTGACAAGACAACAACCTGAACAACACAAGTGATTGTTCCACAGACAGGAGCCTGAAAAGATGCAGGTTTTGAGAAGAGATGGTTCAGAGTAAGTTGTAGAGAAGGTTGTTTGAGAGAGAAATGTGCTCATATTGCAGTTCATTTATGCTTAACTATGCTTTCCTCCAGGTGCCCCTCAGCGCAAGCACACACAGGCAAGGTCTACAAGCACATACTAAGGTCATATGGACTGATGACGCAGAGAAAGCTTTCAAGGACTTGAAACTGACCTTACAATCGACCCTGACCTTAGGACTCCCTTACCTCGACCAACCTTTCACACAAGCAGTTGATGAGAAGATGGCATCTGCTTCGGTGGGTCACACAGTACACATACATGTTCCAGAGAATACACCTGTACGAGTGACTACTGGTCCCCTCCATCGGACGACGATGGAACTCTGACCTCCATGGCATCCCTTCAGACAGCCAGGCCTGTGTGGCCTTAGAAGAAATCTACTTTTCCTCCTGTCAGTAACTGTAATAGTTGTTTTCCCTATCATTTGGATATTTGGCTGGCGCCTTGCTTCCAATTACAACCCTCTACAGTTCCATTCAACCACAGGTTGACACAGGATTGTAAACAGTGATCTCCACGCCTTGCTCTACATGTCAGAATGCCTGTGACCACAAACACAGCAATTGGCTTTACCCTACAATATTGGTGATGATAGATTTTGCATTCTTGTGAATTGATGTATTTGATGTTTTACTGTGGTTGTGCATTCTCTGATGTTGTCATGAATGACAAAAAGGGGGAATTGTAGTGGAAAAATAGCATTGTGTCAGCAAGCAATAAATAGCTTGCTTAAAAAATAACTACTATGGTAATTGTCTTTGTGAATGCTGACTGTGAAGTGCAAGAACAGCAATAAGAATTAAAGAATGTATTAGTTTATCTGGTATATAGGCCTTAATTAGTGTTGTTTTTATCTTCTTACATATTGTGGCCAACTCATAGACTGATCTCAGAACAGTGTTTTGTCTCATAAAGGAGCTGATGTTTCCTTTTTGCATTCATCTTGTAATTTACTGCCTACCTGTGAGTGCAGCAGGTTATTGTCCCTGGAAGCTAGTTTTGACATCCAGCCACTTATCAGACCAGTAGCCTTGATATACACAGTAGTATTAGAGAAGCAACAACACCCATGAACTGAACCAGACCTAAGTCTAATTACACAAGGCAGATCTCTAATGTTTTGCTGTCAGTGTGTAAAAGAGAGTTTTTCCTCCACAGTCGCCAAAGTGCTGCTCATTGTGAGAACTGTTGGGTTTCTCTATATTAATACGATTTTAAGGTCTTGACTTTCTATGTAAAATGCCTTATGATAATGTATATTATGATTTGGAGCTATACAAATAAGATTTAATTGAAATTGAATGAAAAGTTCAGAACACTATGAGGCCTGCAATAAATTTACATAGTGTTTGTTGCAATCATGTCTTCATTTATATCCAAGATTCTACTGGAAATAACTACATAAAATGGTTTTGGTTTTACTTTGGGGAAGTTCTTCTCAAATATAAAGACATATATATTTATATAGATATATATCTACATTAATATTATACTAATATATCCAAAAGATCAATATTTTCAAATGAAAACCTGTAGTGAATGTAATGGAAATTTTACATTTGTGTATGTTTAATTGCATGAGCAGACATGTATGTGGAGGACTGACCAAATGGTTGGCCAAATTGTTAATCTGAAAAACCAACTTTAAGGTTTGCGATGGTGGCTTAAGAGATTTGAGTTTTATGGCCTCGAAAAATAACAACTTTATGGTATCTCTGATTGGGATCAAATACCAGGGATCTCACAGGGGGCTCATCCACAGAACATGTAAACATAAGGACAGGATGTCTCCTCCACTGAGTGAAACTATAAGAGGGTAATAAATACCTTTGCATGCTTAGTGGGAGGGGGCTGAGAGTTATAAGAACACAGATTCTCTTATGTTCTTTGCTCATTTGTGCATGTCAATCAGGTGATGTGTACTAATGAGTCCATCTGCAAATGCTGAATTAAAGTGTTAAGTGTTTGACTTAGTGCTTGTTTCACAGAAATTGCCCCCACATGAATGCAACCAAGCATTGTGTATGTATCATTAATACAAATCTGAAATTTGTAACAAACCAACCTGATGAAAAATCACTTTCATTGTGGATTGACCTAATGCACAAGATTCGACAGCGAAGCAAACAAGATGTGGTCTGGTTAGAATTGAGAATATGCTTTATTGAATTTACCAGTAGAATTAAAGCAAACTGTCTGACACATCCTTTGTTTTAAGTGGTGACTAACTGGAGGTCAGCCAAATCAGCAAGGTGTGTGTGTGAGTGTTCCTTTACTTACTGTATATCTTTGTGAGGACCATTTGAAGCATAGACTTTACGGAGTCAGGACATTATTGGAAAGTGAGGACATTTTGACAAGTCCTCATTTTTTCAAAGGGCTGTTTGAGGGTTGAGATTTGGTTTTAGGGTTAGGATTAGAATTATGTTTGACGACTCTCTGCTACCCCCAGACCCCAACCCCCTGTAAAGTCTGCCCCTGGTCACAGTCAACTTGTAGTAACTTTTAGTTCCTTGTAAACCTTTTTGTGATTTAAGTATTTCGTATATTACAAATCCTATTAATGACATAACACTTGTTTCTGATCTTCCTTCAAAGACACTGATGATGATGAGAGTTTCATTACTCCTCAATCTGTGTCATCACGCTCCGCAGTTTATCCAGCAGCACTGTGGAAGAAAAACCACAGTGTTAGTGTTATTATTTTAGATGCTTTCTAACATTGTGAGCTGTTTTTCAGAGTAAGGGTTTCAAATGATGTTACTTTCATCCCCACAAACACAGACTGTCAAAAATGATTAACTGAAACCTACTTGATATCTAAATACCTGCCTCAAGACAGCCGTACATGAGGCGAGGACAATGATTTATTTACCTCCTGCAGATGGTCTCTGGAAGCTATCATAGTCCCGGCAGGCATTGATCAGATGTGCCAGTTGTTCAGGACAGTCGTCAGGAAGAGGTTCTTGAAATTTATCTTTGTACACTTTCTGATAGATGTCCTCATTTGAACACCCTGGAAAAAGCAAGAACCACAAGTGAGTGTGTGAGTGAGCGAGCCATCGATTGAGGGACTTTTAAACAGCTGCTATCTTGTCATCAAGAAGTGAAAGTTCTTTTCTTTTGGATACTCTCAGCTCTTGCATCAGGTGTTTGTCAGGCCCTGCCTGCTTGCTAAGAACTAGATGCCCAATGTGCCAACATGTACAACTAAAACTATTCAAAGGTGCATTGGGATTTTATAAATGAGCTGTAACTAAGATTCCAAATTCATGTTTGGTATATTCAGAAAGAAACTAACAGTCCAATCTTCAGTTTCACGTACTCATACACAGTCCTGCCATTATCCAGTCCTGTTTATTCAGCAGAATCCAAGTCCTATCAGTTAATTCTGTCTTATCTATTCATTTTTTTAAGCTGTTTTAATCTGAATCTAAAAGCAAAACCAACCATGTTGCTTGCAAACAGGCTTCACATAAATGACCCATAATGCATTTATGGTATTTATGCAACAAGCAGTCTGGCTTTACACATGCTTGTACCACTGTAATTGCTGCAGTTGCTGTTGTGGGTGACATTGTTAACTTGCCTGGAAGCTTTCTTTTCTTTCCAATGCTTTCTTTCTGTTGATTGCAACACTTTGGTAACTTATCTGCTTTCTGTTGCCTTTGGTTCAACTCATATCTCTCTGATGGTTTATAATCAAGTACCTTAATAATTGATGAGGATTTTCCTCAAGCATCACTATCATTCTATCATCTATCATATCGTTATTTACTGGAAAATTATGTTTATTTCCAACTCAGGGCTATAACACCCATTTCCAACAGGCTGGTTTCTAACAATCTGATTGAACTTTGCAATGCATTGGCAAGCCTCTCTTGTCACATCTTTGAAGAGTTCCCACTTGGCGACTGGCGACTGCTGATCAAGCATTGATCTTGAACTTTTGTCAGCGAGTTGCAAAACTCGTCTGTGACTCACCATTTGAGCTGAAAATCGTTTAGTGCGAACTAAGCTTTAACTAACTAAATGACTGTTAATCTGCACGCAAAATTGTATATTATCTAAACTAAGATTTAACATGACAGGGAAATATATAATATTGCAGTATGTAGCATATTGAGGAATATGCTACATACTGAGGAATATGTAGCATATTGAGGAATATGCTACATACAGGAAGTGCACAGTGGAGAGATAATTTACACAATCACATACTCCAATTCTTCCTTAAAGCTACAATCCACTTTTCAAGTTTCAATGTGTGATTTGACTTTTGTGTATCCAAAATCTTGGAGTGGTGCAGGATGGTTTTTAGAAATGTAAAACAGAATTATTTGTTTGTATCTGAAGCTAATCTTGCTGACTGGCCTGCAGCCTCAGTGACAACAAATTACT